AAGGTGGGGGGTGGTAGGAGGGGAGTAGACTCGTGAGAAAGGGGGCAATGGGAAAGGGCGGAAAATTGCTGAGGACCAGTGACCTCAATAAAGACGGGACAAAGGTCTGGGGGTGACCTGGGAGGGGTGTCAACAGCGGCCGGAGATGAGGCACTGCAAACGGCCCCGAAGACGGGGTGTGACGGGGGCGGGGGCAGCGAAGTGCCGGGGGACCTGTACAGAGCAGTCTGGACCGAGGGAAGGGGGCAGGGAGCGCAGAGCTTGGGGCTGAGGAAGAACCAGGAAGGGGCGGACGGTAAGTGCACTGAGGAGACAAGGGCGGCCAGGTCTGAGGGAAGGAGTTCTGAGGTCAAGGGGCAAGCCCGGGGACACCTGAGGGGGCCCATGTGGGCGGGTGGGTGAAGCCGCCGGGCCCGGCCCCCTCAGCCAGGCAGCACTTCGGTTCCCCCTCCGCTCTCTACGAACGCCTATGAAGCGGAAGAGGCACTAGGGGTCGTTACCCGGGCGGTCGCACAGCTCCCGCCGCCTCCGCTCCCGCCGCTCGCACCAGCTGAAGTGACACATGCAACTCCTCTTCCCCGACCGCGGCAGCCTGAGAGTCCGTGTACCAGGCGCGCTCCCGCGAGACAACTGACTTTATCGCGAGACTCAGCCGGCCGCCGGGCCGGATGTCGCGAGAAGCCTTTCGGAGGGAGGGACGGAGGAGTCTTTAGTGAGCATGCGCGTTGAGTTCCGGGGCAGAGAGGCTGGCGGCCACTAGGTGGCGCTCGTCACACGCGAGAAAGGATGGCGAACCGGCTAGCTAGCCCAGCAGGTGTCAGAGGTGAACACTGAAGGGGACGCGGAGATGTCTCCCTGAGTCAGAAATGACTCCCTGTTAAGAGGAGTCTGGGGAACCAACGTTCCTGGGGCGTGTCTGGGGTGCGTCTTGGTCCTGAGTAACCTTCCGCCTACCTATTGGATAAATCACTTAGTTGCAGGGAAATTTCAGGTAGATGAGGCATTTGGTTTCCTTTTTTATGTCATGCCCAAAATGAGGAGGGTGAGACTAAAACGACAGTCTATTAAAGGTTTGTGCAGTGTTTCAGCATCAATGTATTTTTTAATATCCCTGGAGTTAGTTATAACAAAACATTTTCTATGAGTGCTTCCAAAAATTAAAATACCCTCGCCGCCATCGAGTCCCGTTCCCACTTACAGTGGCCCCATAGAACAGAGTAGAACTTTTCCTTTGGGTTTCCAAGACTGTAAGGCTTTGCAGATATCCCACACAGTGGCTGGTAGGTTCGAACTGCTGACCTTGTGGTTAGCAGCCCTATGTTATAGCTGCGAGATCATGGTTAGTAGTATTTGTGAATCTATAACTTTTTAGCGCATTCAGTAATTAGAAGAAACCTATCCACTGCCATTGAGTTGATTTTGACTCCTAGTGACCCTATAGAACTCCCTACAGTTTCCAAGACTGTATATGTTTATGGGAGCAGACAGCCTCCTGTTTTCCCTCAGAAGGGCTAGTGGATTTCAACCGCTGACCTGGAGGTTAATAGCCCAATCCCATAACCTGCTACCTCACCGGGAGATTCTTAATTGAAGGAAAAGAAGGAAAGTATTAAAAGGCTTCAGCCTAGTTACTAAGAATCTTGTCACTAATAATGTCATAATTTAATGTAGAAGGATTTTACAGAACAAATTGATTGTTCATATAATCTAAGGAAAATTATATTTAGGTAACTCCCAGCTATATTTATCACATTCGACTATTATTCAAATGGATAAGAAACATTACAAAGATAGGAAAATGATGATAATTTACAATTTAGCAAGGAGTCACGAGGGTGGGAAGGGGCAGGGGGAGTGAAAAAAGAGGAGCTGATACCAAGGGCTCAAATAGAAAGTAAATGTTTAGAAAATGATGACGGCAATCTATGTCCAAATATGCTTGCTACTACTGAGGTATGGAATGTTGTAAGAGCTGTGAGAGCCCCCAATAAAGTGATCTTTCGAAATAAAAAAATAAAGTATTGATACGGGACGAGGTCCATGGGACAGGGGGGTGACGCCAAGAGTTACCACACTGAAAGACACGAACCCTAGTATTGCCAGTGAATTTTAATTACCTTCTCATTTTAATGACATTCCACCACCCCTACCCCCTAATCTCACTAACCTAACTACTAGTTTCATCACTGTCTCTGTGTTTACTTATCCTTATGTTGTGACAAATTAGGATTAATCAACTTGCACCTCAGACTTTCCTTCAGGAGTTTGGTAAACACGAGCGCAAGCCGCATCTTAACTTTGCCTCCCGCTGCTGGTTTCCCTCTGGGAAAATGTCTTCTGCAACTTCCCGCTCCCAAAAGAGTCAGTTCTCCATGACACCAGCGAAAGGCAAGACCCTGTTCCCACACAAGCATGTTTGATGCCTCTATTTAATGACACCCACCTGACACTGGGTGCCAGGAACTGCGGCTGGTCTGGGGACACAGAGTCCAGATGCATTCGTCCCACAAACCTGCAGAGGGTGCTTGCTATGCACTAGACACTACAGACACTGGAGCGACCCAAAGAGCCACTGACAGTGTGAGACATGTCCACCGAGTGAATCCTCCCCAAAGCCCATGAAGTTGGTCTCGCTGTCCCCAACATCCAGATGGGAAAGCTGAGGCGCTAAGGTGAAAGGGACTTCAGTAAGTTCACGTAGGCTAACGTGTTAAAAAGCAAAGATGTCAGCCTGGGGACCAAGCTGCTCAGGACCCAAACCAGGGTACTTGCAGTCACCTCCTACACATTGCAAAAGCTGGGACAGGAGCCAGGCAGCCTTTGAAGTGACGGTGTCGGTGAGAGGATGGAATACAGCACGGGACGCCGGAAGAGTCACCCAGTCTGCCTTGGAAGACGTGCATCCGAACGCCCCTCAGAAGGAGGATGTGGACCCTTCATCTCACACACTTTGGACATGTCCCCGGAAGGAACTAGTCCCTAGAGAAGAACATCATGCTTGGGAAAGTAGAGCGAGGGTCCGTAAAAAAGGAGGAAGCCCCTGAGCAAGATGGATTGGCACCGGACCTGCAACAATGGCTCAAACAAAGCCAGGCTGGTGCAGGACTGGGCGTGTCTCCTTCCGCTGGATGTGGGGTTGCTGTGGCCTAAAGGGATTCAATGGCACCCCAAATAGATACCATGTAGATCATAGAATGGCTGTTTTGTTAATATTGCTCCCTATATTTTAATATCTCTTTCATCAAGCTGCATTGTAACTGAGTCTGAGCTTTGTACCCCAGTTTCCTGGACAGCATCTTTCTTGCTGCCCAGTTACTCTCGAGTTTATTCTGACCCATGGTGGCCTCATGTGTGTCTGAGCACCGTTGGATGATGTTTGGGAACAGCTGGTCAATTATTTCTATCTCTGGGTGGAGTTGAACTACCAACCTTTCCGTTTCTTTTTTGTTGTAGTCAGTTTTGACTCATAGTAACCCTGTGTGAAATTTGAATGGCCTCACTGAGTTTCTAAGGCTAATGCTTTCATAAGCGGACTGCCACAACGTTCTCCTTTGGCCAGGTGGTGGGGTTGAACCACCAACTTCTCCTAGGGCTTCGTTCCTATCTCCACTGCAGGGACCCTCATCTCACAACCGGTGAAAATGAGGAAGGAGTCCAGCACCCTCGCTACATCCGAAGGCTGGGTGAGGGTGACATCCTTATACTTGACCTGGCCATGTGTCCCGTGAAAGATGCTTGCTTTTCCAGCTCCCCTTGCAGCAAAGGGGGATATGCAGCCCAGTTCTGGTCAACGAGAAGTCCCCGAGGAAGGGATCTCGCCCCTAGGGAAATGTTACGAAAGACTTTGAAAAGGGCAAAAAGGAATTCTGGGTGGTGTCCTGTCTAGCATGCCCT